CTCGTCTTTAGAAGTTTTTAAGTCTGTAAAAAAGAAGTTTTTTGAGGAAGAAGAAGAAGTAGTATTTTTTTTTTTTTTCTTTAGAAACTCAGAAGCTGATCAAATATCGGGATAAATATTGGTGGGGTGGCCGATGTCCGATATTCAGTTTTAAGGCCGATACAGGCCGATACCGATAGGGGGCCGATTATACCATGCATCCCTAGTTCATATCACATCTCAACTATGTTTAGTGTGCATTTTGGGCAGAGTAATTGGAGGAAAAATGCCAAAAGCATCAGAATGGGAAAACATTGCATTTAAAAATGTTTATAACACATGTTGATATTAAATTGGGATATAATCGCTAAATAAAAAAATAGAAAAAAAACAATTTCACCATGAAAAATGTCTAAGCCAATAAGTCCAGATTGACACCCTGAATCTCTCAGTATAATTTACTTAAAGAGTGATCTGTGATCACAGAACTCTGCCAACATGAGTTCTTATGGGACTCTATGTTAGACTTTACTTCAAATCAACTTTAAATGATGTGAAATCGGATAGAAAAAAGACCCAAACTAAAATACCACGCAGCATCCTATAGAGTCTGTCTCCAACTCTTCCTTTGGCAGCACAAAACTTTCTCTTTAAGAGGACAAAAATGGCTCCCGCTGCATCGTGACAGCTGTGAATAAAATCAGTCCTCCACTGTGATATTTTCTGAGCGTTGGCAGGCACAATTGCTCTTTCTCTCCCCCAACAAGAGACTGACACTCCTCCTACACCTCCATCTGTTGATTGCTCCCATTCCCTCCTTGTTCATTTAAAAAGAGTACGGGCAATTGCTGCAGCGACACAGCCCATGTTGGTGATAAAAGATGGCTGATTTTTGAGAGAGAGAAAAAAAAAAAGATAACAGTTTATTAACGGAGAACTGGTCAGATTATGCCTAAGTGTGAGGCACTGTGTGAAGGACATTGCCATGGGTAACGTAAGGATAAGAGTGTTGAAGTGTGACAGATAAAGTCCAGATTGACTTGCCTGCTGGTGAATCTCAGCTTAATGCATTTTGGCTAAAGAGGCAGATGGATAGAGGGGTGAATTTGAGTAACTAATTCATTTTAAACGAGAGCTTTAAAATGAATTCTCCCGATAAAATGTATTTTTTTCAGGTTACTTCATGTTGAGCATTTGATTAGTGCAGAATGAACGTGAGTTTAGTTTCATTTCCTATTTTCTCCAGAGATAATCCAGAGTTAATCCAAGCTTTTCCATTTAATCTGTGAACAATTTATCTTCTGTCAATCAGTTAGAGGTAAATTATTTTCATTTAAAGCACATAATTGAAAATATTTAAATAAAATTACAGGTATCTGAGATGTCTACAGACAAGATATTTTATGCTTTTAACAAACTTTATAGAAGCAGAAGTAAACACTAAGATTAGTATTAGACGCTGTAATTGACATTTATGCAC